GCAGAAGAAAAAGCAAAGCAGTCTCCTCTTTTCTTCCTTTCTCTTTCAAGAAAAAGTGAAAATAAGGCAACCAAACACTAATGGGAGATGAGTAAGTAGAAGAAAAGACAGGGCTGATTTTCAGTCAGTATAAATCAACATAGCACCATTGACTTTAGCTAAGCATCTGGCCCTCAAAATACCAACGTAAGATAAAACCTCTGGAAAAATGTACACCCAACTGCTTCCAGATGGCACTCCTCGTTAGTCGTCTTGCCAGATTGTGGATGGGATCTTTGTTTTTTGATGTGTCTTTGTGTTCAGTGTCAGCACGTTGTTCAAATAAAGAGGAAAAAAAAAAAGGGGTAGTTTGTGGAAAGCTTACTTGTTGGGACAATATGCTTCATGTGCTTTATGTTCAGACCAGCACTTACTTATTATAAGTGGAATCTGTTTGAGTTATTTTTATGTGTTGATCTCATTGTGTCACTTTAGTTTTTGATTATTAATGAAATGCTAATAAGTATCTCCTAGGTATTATGCAGCCTCATTATTGTCAGTAGAATTTCTGCCAGAAGAAGAAATGTTAAAATGACCCTGCTTAGAAGTCTGTGCCTGGTTATACACTCATGAATGAAAAGTATAATGGTTTTATGAAAGCTGACATGAATAGTAATGTTTTAATTAAAAAATACTTAAAGAGAGGTAGTTTTTTACTTTAATCATGGTTACGCAATGCAGATTAACAAAAGCCAAATCGTTCTTGCTAAACATATACGGTTATGTTGAACACACAAGAATGTAACTATTCTTGTGTATACACCAAACAAGAACACATGTGTTATTTTGATAAAAAAGCTTGAGTTTTTTCAGAGTAGCCCAGTTTTAAAAATGAGATATTAACATTTTAAACAGCTTGTCTGAGCAATATTGTTGTTTTAAGCATTTCCAGAAATAATATATAACAGATGACAAGAGGAACAACTTTTAATGTAATATTTGTTTTATATAAATAAACGGTGCTGCCTTATCTGCAGCCCTGTGTGGCCAACACATTGCTAAAATGATGGTGCACAACTAGAAGACACTTCAAAAAAGTCAAGGAATTTTGAGAATTTGAGAAGGGCCTGGAAAAAATTTAATCTGGCAAGAGATTAAAAGAGAGAGGTAGACAAGAAAAGGGTGGTAGCAGAATATAAAATAATGCAAAATAGAAAGAAGCTCGATCTGAGGAGCTCATATAAAAAAGACGACGAAATCTAGGTGGGAAATACAATGTTCGGAAAAGAAAATACTTTTTCAAGCGACATTCAATTGAATCGGGGACGTCATTCCTTCTCAAAGTCATTGAGGCCCAACAACTGAACAAATTTCCAAAGGGAAGCAATCATTTCTATGTGCAATATCCTTTCCTGCCATGTTCCTTGTGGTGCAGTGATGACTGAGTCCAACACAAGAACACAGGTGTCTAGTGTGGCTGAGTTCCTGAAAATAAGCTGTTTTAAAAATCAGATCATTCTGAACCTCAGAACACTGCAGAGAACACAGCACACTTTAAATTATGCAAACATATGTCTAATACTGAGCTTCTGAGTACTAGGAACTTTGGCCAGAAGTTTTTCTAAGTGCTTGTACTGCATGTGCAAGGACTTGTGCTTCTCTCACTAGAGAAGCTGGCAAATGACATCTGCAACGCTCTGTTCTCGCCTGCACCCACGCACACTACTAGGCAACGGAAAGGGCATCCTTTGTTGTTTGAAGTTAAAGGAAAAGCGGTCAAGTTGGTTTTCCTTGAAAGACTGAGGAGTGTTTTGGAGGGCAGTTTCCTGGAAACTCCAGCGTTAACTTTTCTTGGAAAATGCAGTGAATCAGAGTGTGCTCCAACCAGTGGGATCCCCTCTGGCTTTGCCAAAGTCAGGTACTTGTGCAAAAGTGAAGGCGATAATCGTATCTAGACTGATACTTCCTGCCCAGTCAGGATTCAGACTTGTGTATTCAATTTAATTCTGGCTTTAGTTCCTAATTTGTCATACAGTTCATTTTAATTTGAAAATAACAATTCTGAGTGAGTACAGTTGGGAGAAAGATAAGCCTAAAAGGCAGTCTTATACCCATCCACCTAATGCTTCAACTTAGAGGATTTGTCTGCATAAAGTGCTACTGCGTTTGTGCAGCTCTTGCGTTCGGTGATTTGGCTTAGTCACTGGAGTCAGCCAGTAATAATTAAATTCAGGCAAGACCCAGATGTAAACTGTGAGTAGCTGACATGAACATAAAAATGTTTTATCTTGCTCTGCACTTAAGTTACCAAAGGCTTTGCCTAGCCAAGTGCTGCTAGGTGCATTTAGGCCCAAAACTCCCTGGGGAAAAGCCTTCAGTGGAAGGGACTAGTGCTAGCAGCGACTGAAGGCTTCAGCCTCCATGTCTTACCTTGTGGCTTCTGAGCTGCATTGGATGTTTCTTTAAAGGCTTGTGCTGATGAAGCTTTTAAAAAAGCATTTGCACATATATCTTAGCTGAGGAGGGCTGTGGCAGGAACTCTGTCAACCCTTGCTTTGAGATGACCGTCTTTCCCCAAGGGAGAGTTGACATCTCCCTGGAGTGAGCTTTACTGATTTTGGTCCTTGGTTGTCCGCTTATCACCTGTTGTGTGTAGGCTGTGGTTCTTTATTTTGTGAAAACTACCTACCGAGAGTTACATTGTTCAGTTCCTCCTTTCTGTTGTACTCATGTATATTTTAAAGGAGGAACAATGTGTTTGGAATAATGGTATATGTGATTTGCTCTGTTCTGCTTGTTTTTGATTCTCATGTACTCATGATCTCTGTTGAAACAAAATAAAGAGGCCTTGTGTTTATATTAACGCTCATCTTTTTCTGTGTGTAACTTTGGAGGAGAGGAAAAACATGGCGAGCTGTCTAACGAAGATGTACAGTGAGGACCACAGTACA